AGGCCCTGGAGGCGGGGTCCCGGGGGTGCCAAAATTTGGGGTTGGAAACTTGGGGCCCAGGGTTTTCCAGGATTCCCCGGGGGTGCCCAGGGTATCAAAAAAGGAGGCGTTTTTTTGTTCCAAGACAATCCAATACAATAAAAAGGTGGTGGACCTCCACATTTTTGTGGTTTTGTTTAAAAAGCGCCCACGTGGTTCTTTTTAGGGGTTCTTTTAGGGTTTCCCCTGAAAAGGGGGGGTTTTGAAAAAGATTTTGATGGGGGGGGGGGGGGGGGGGGGCGAGGATGGTTTGTAAGTATACAAACAAGCATCCGTCTTCCAAACTTCCTGCTTGTTGCAACGGGTATACAGTACTCCGTGTTTAGAGCACGACACCCTGAATGACGGCAATATCACCGGTGATGCTGTCTTCCGTTGGCCAGTGCGACCAAGAACTGCAATACAACACAACGGGACACTAGTTCCGGCGTTCCGCAGGCCGTTGGTAGGGCTGTAACTTTGCCGAGAGGGTTGCGGCGAACAAAGCAATCGCGAAGCGGTGCGGCTCAACAAAGGCAGACTTTCACCATTAGTCAAGTATGGAAACGAGGGGTGCCGCAACATCAATCTCGCGGGAGGATCCAGGGGTACAGCACGTGCCTGTGCGGCAATCTCGCGCTTGGCCAGTTCCGCGCCCGCCACGCCCGCCACCATCATCAATGCCTCCCGCGGCATTCTTGGAACGGAGTCCCTGCAACGAGGGTTTTTCAAGAGCAAAAAGATTAAAAAACGACCATAATGTGGTACGCAACAGGAGGCAAGCTTGTTGTGCGACAGAAGGAAGACGCTGGGCGTGACTAGAGAACACACACACATGTTGCTGCAGTTCTTCGTGTCTAAAGTATCCCGGCCTGCTTACCTCTCTCTCTCTCTCTAGGTCTGTCTCTCTTTGCCTCTCCGTCTGTCTGTCTGTCTGTCTGTCTGTCTGTTTCACTCTATCTCTGTCTGTCTCTCTGTCTCTACTCTATCTCTCTCTCTCTTTCTCTACTTTCTCTCTCTACCGTCTCCCTCCCTCCCTCCCTCCCTCCCTCCCTCTCTTTCTCCCCCCCCTCTCTTTCTTCCTACTTCCCTCTCCATCTCTAGCTGTCCGTCCCTCTGCCTGTCCCCTCCGACTCCCTCTCCCCACAATAGAGTGCTGTGCTTGCGTGCCTGACAGCCTGCTGCGCGCGGGCCATCAACCCGGTCCTCTCCATGACGGTCACGGTCCACCGGCGCCACAGCGGCAGTCGCCCTTCCCCCTTCTCCTCTTCCTCCTCCTGCCGCACCCCCCCCAAGACCCCGTCGTCCTCAGCAGCAACACCTGTCCGTGTTAAAAGTGAGCGGGCCAACATATTCAACCGCGCGTTGTTGTCCAAGGTGCTGCATGCACCCTTGCGGAGGTCGATTCCACGCAGCCCGACATCTTGACGCGGTGGTTGCGAAAGGTTAGTTAGCTGAGGTTAACGTTTGCACGTCAAAAGAGACGGCTGGCCTCGGGAGATGACGACAGTTTTTCGTGGCGTGTCTGCTGGCTGACTGACAGTCCCTCTGGCTGCCGGGACGGTATGCGAGGTTTTTATTTCGGTCCGCCTCTCTGTGATTGGCTGGACTTGCTGACAGTCCCTCTGGCTGCCAGGACGGTGTGCGAGGGGCATCCCTTCGCTTCTCTACGAACGCCTTGGACCCAATGAGAGCGATCGATAGATGCGTGTTCTTTGCTGCCAGATGCGGTTGGTTCTCGTTTGGTTGCTTCGAGGTGGATAGGTACCATGTTTGCAGAAAAGAGTTGTCACACGATGAAATATACCACCTTCCCCCCGATTGCTGGACTTGCCCACCGCCACAGCTCCAAGGCACGAACCCTGTGCATACCCTTAACAGCAGCGGCGTTTCGAAACAAAACCGTTTTCGAAAAGGATCCGCCTTGCTCTCAACACTGAAACCCGCTTTTCTAGACGAGAACTTGAGCTCGAAACAAAGCAGTACTGTAGCTTCGTGACCACCAGGGTATGTGCTGCCTTGTTGCGTCATTCGAACTTCGATCTAAACAAACCGCGAAGAGGAGTTTGAGCCCGACAAACTTAAAAAAATCGTACTCACAGTAGTGGCTATCGTGCAAGAGAGGGTCGGGACAAGCCAGCAACAATCTCTCAAAACCGCTTTTTCTCTTAAACCGTGTACTAGGTGTATTTCTCATGGTCGGTACAAGGTTCAAGCCAGCAACAATCTCTCTAATCCGGTTTTCTCTTAAACCGTGTACTAGGTGTATTTCTCATGGTCGGTACAAGGTTCAAGCCAGCAACAATATCTCTAATCCGGTTTTCTCTTGAACCGTGTAATAGGTGTATTTATCATGGTTGGTACAAGGTACAAGCCAGAAACAATCCTCAAATCTGGTTTTCTCTTAAACCGTACCGTTGCGTAATAGGCGTACAAGCACTGTGCATGGTCTGGAGAAGCCAAACACACCCACATGAATCCGATTTTATCTTAGAAAAATCTCTCTTTAACCGTAGCCGCTGCTGTAGCAGCAACTTCGGTTCGCACCTTCGCCGGGGTCGTCGTACCGGGCGGGGCAGGACAGGAGAACAGCGCCACACGTCAAGTCAACGCCTTTTGGTCGTGCGAGTTCCGCGGCCCGGCGTTTCGCGGCCTGTTTGATCACATCCGTCGCCGACAGTATAACCAGTCGGGAAAGAGTACTGTGTGGTGATCACATCCACCACCATCGACAGTTTTATCCGTCGGGTAAAAGCATTGTGAGATGATCACATCCATCACCGAGAGTATGAATCAGTCGGGTAAAAGTACAGTGTAATGAG